GAACCCATCCAAAGGCATCTCGGAAGAAAAACCTGATAATTTGCTTCTGAAAGATCATAACCTTAAAAACCTGATGGAGCCGGTCTACTGTGCATACATGGGGTCGCCATGAGTTGGAATCTACTTGAAGGCAACTTACTATAACAACAACTGCATGCTCTCCAAATTTGCTAAACATTTTCCCCAGTTGTTCTTTGTTGTTGAATCATGAATTACATTTTGCTTCCATCTCCATGAGGTCAAGTGGGAAGCAAGTTCTCAACCAAGGAAGCCAGCATCACTCACTGCATCTTTTCTAACTTTTTTTGAAAAATCATATTCTCTCCTTGCCAGGGCTTCTTTCTCCCAACCAGTTTACTGTACTTCAACCAATACAGGCTATTTGAGTATAGGAATAAAGTATGCTTCCTGGTGGCACAGTGGTTAACCACTTGACTGTTAACCAAAAGGTCAGCAGTTTGAACCCAGTTGCCACTCTGAGGCAGAAAGATGTGGCAACCTGCTTCTGTAAATATTACAGCATTGGAAACCCTATGGGCCAGATCTGCTCTGTCCTATAGGGTCTCTGTGAGTCAGAATTCAACTTGATGGCAGTGGATATGAGTGAATGAGTGATAAGCTTTTGGGTATAGACTGTCTATAATGGAATTTACAGTTTGTTGCTTTGGAGCAAATTTAGAGCACCAAATAGTCACTTTAGATGCTTCTGATTGTCATTTTACTTTGCTAGTCTTAAATGGCTTTAAACATCTGAAATCAGCTTAAAACAGTTCAGATGTCTTTGTACTAGTTTATATCAGTCTAAACCAGTGAAAACTACTTTATGGATGAGTTGAAGGAATTAGGAGGGGTTTGATAAATTTAGAGCAAGTGTGATCCAGTTAGAAGTGGATTTAATCTATCAGTACCACCTTAATTCAGTAAAATAGACTGAGCCAATCAAACTTACATGAGCCAGTTGGAGCCTAACTGTCCGGGTCAGAACTTATTTGAGCTAACTAAAACTAGTTTGAAACAACTTGAGCTATTAAAAACCAAAACCAAACTCACTGCCGTTGAGTTGATTCCAACTCAAAGCTACACCCATTGAGTTTCTGAGGCGGTAAATCTTTACAGAAGTAGATTTTCCCATCTTCCTTTGGTGGAGTGGCTGGTAGTTTGAATCACTAACCTTCTGGTTAGCTTTAAAGTCAGACCTAAATAATTTTGGTCAGATACTATTGGTTTTAGCCAGTCAAAGTGGTTTTAGATCAATCAGAAACTGTTTCATTGGTAGAACCTTATTCTCCTGGTTAGATCCACTGTGGATTACTATAATCCACTCAGATTCTTTTGCACAATTACTAGGTTAGAATGGATTAGAGTGTTCTAAACTGATTCAACAGGAGCTCTGGTGGCATAGTGGTTAAAGCATTTGGCTGCTAACCAAAAGATCAATGGTTCAAACTTACCAGCTGCTCTAGGGGAGAAAGATGAGGCAGTCTGCTTCCTTAAAGATTGTTGTTGTTGTTGTTATTTGCCATCGAGTCGGCCCTGACTCCTAGCGACCCCTCCTTGGGTTTCTGAGGCAGTTATCACTACGGAAGTAGGATTGCCCAACCTTCCTTCCGAGGAGTGGCTGGTGGGTTTGAACCTCCATCCTCCTGATTAGCAGTCAAGTGCCTTAGGCACTATGCTACCAGAGCTCCTTCCTTAAAGATTACAGCTTTGAAAACCTGATCAGGCCATTCTACTCTGTCCTATAGGGTTACTATGAGTAGGAATCAACTCAGTGGTGGTGGGTTTGGTTTGGTTGATTATACTGATTCAAACCTGTTTTTAAGCTGAGCAGGAGTCTTTTGAATTAGGCTTATCTGTCTTAAATGGATTGGAAATGGTTTAAGCCAGCCAAAAAGGATCAGAATTAGGTTCAGTGTCCTCTTTGTTGACTCAGCAAACTACTCGAAGCCAGTCAGAAATCTTCTGTGCTAGAAAGCTATGTTTTCAGCTAACCAGAACTAATTTCAGAAATTGTTTGAGGTCTTCAGAACCAGTCCCATCTGTCCAGAGTTGGGAGAAAGAAGTGAGATAACATTTACTAAGTACTCAGTATATGCCACTCCTCGGAAGGAAGGTTGGGCAATCCTACTTCCGTAGTGATACTGCCTCGGAAACCCAAGGAGGGGTCGCTATGAGTCGGGGCCGACTCGACGGCACACAACAACAACAACAACAACAGTATATGCCAAACATTGTGCTGGCCCTCTACTAATAGTATCTCATTCAATCCTTGGAACGATGGTGTGAGTTGGTGTGTGTCATTCTCTTTCTATAGGATGGAAACCTGGAAATCATAGGCTCAGAGACATCCAACTTGTTGGCATGTGGGAGACTTGAAATTCAATCTCAGCTCTGTCTTCACTTCAGAGGTCATGTGCTTTCTACTAGACTACCTTGTACCACTCTGGTAGCATAGGGTCTAAGGCACTTGACTGCTAACCAGAAGGCTGGTGGTTCAAACCCAAATCCACCAGCCACTCCTTGGAAGGAAGATGGGGCAATCTACTTCCATAGTGATATTGCCTTGGAAACCCAAGGAGGGGTTGCTATGAGTTGGGTCTGACTCGATGGCACATAACAGCAACAACAACCTTGTACCGCCATGTCATACCACTGGTATCTTTAAAATCTGATATGCATTTGTAAAAAAATTGTGCAACAGACACAAAGCTTGTGGTTGAATAAAGGATATTGTACTTGCTGTTAGGAAACTTAGGCTCTAGAATGTGCAAATCAGTTAATCTCTCTGGGATCTGTTTCTTATTTTAGAAAAATTAAACCTAGAGAGTGAAAGATTTGAGCATTTATTTTAAGATCAGAAAGCAGATAAATATCTAAAAGGTGTACTCTGAAAGTGTAAACTATGGCTAATATTGATGGTGGTATCTACACCTTCAGTTTGTGGTATTTGGTTGCATAACACTTCCTTTATGAGAACTTGGTTTGAGAACAAATGGTTATGAATTGCTACTAACAGGATTAGAAAGCAAAACTGATGAAGATCATTTGTAACCTATATGTGTGATTCTTCTCCCATGAAAACTAACCACACTGAATTGTTAGTTCAAGCAAGAAATAGTTTCACCTACATCTTTGAATTCTGCCCAAGTGAGTTTAGTGCATTTTCAAATATTGATGCCATCACTGACATCATTTTCTCTTCTGCCTTAAAGGACACAAAAACAAAGTTGTTGAAATGACCAACCTTTTTCAAATTAAAAGTTAAGAAGAAATAAAAGTGGTCTCAGTATCTTCTTACATGATTTCTATTGTGGAATTGTTTTTTGCTTCCTCATTCAATCCAAGGGAACCCCCCAGATGATGAATGGTTGTCTGAACACCCTTTTCAATTCTCTGCTTTTATTTCTGAATAACTTGGGGCCAAGTGCTATGCTATGCTGTGATATATTAGAATGTTTGTTTATATCCAAGCAGAGAGGAATTCTATTATACCCCATTAATCCTGGTCACCCATACCTGTGAATTCAAACTATATATCATGGGAATGTCATAATCTGTAGAGTGCCAGTCTTTATAATGTGCAAATAGAATTATGAATGTTTGTAGAGGCTCTGCCCTTATAGACTGGCCAGCCATATCTGAAATGTGAGTTGCAGATCTGACCTGGCATTCTGAAGAAGTACATTGCAGCACCTCTTAGGGTTCAACATTCAGGATTTAGGGGTATAAGGTGAGTCACTTAGTTGAAGATGGGGTGGGGAAGGCAACCTTGAAAATCCATAGATGTCCTTGCCTGAGCTTTTATTGCTTTTTATGAATCTAAAAATAATACAATAGGAAACATTGAGAATTTCATCAAGGATTGTGGATGCGGGGCTGAGTGAAATGGGCACAATGGGAGGAAATCAGCAGCATCCAGTACAGAGCATTTAGCATACGTCAATGGGTCTGTGTGTGGGTTTGAACAGGTAGGTGGGGATCTTAGTGACAGTGGCATAGCTGGTTATTTTCCTGATTTTCAGGAGGGTTTATTGGTATTAAAGATGGGAGGATAAAAAGTAAGCGTTCCCTGGAGGCAGACTACATTTCCACTTGGGTTAATATTTTAGGTTTGAATCTGTTTAGAGGATAAAAATAAATCATGAAAAGTGTTGTTTGCAAAGGACTGACAAATTAAGTAACTAACTTACTTACTAACCATGATTAGCTATTGCTGGTAAAAGCAAGTTTTTCTCCTCCAAAGTGGACTTTTGTTTTAGTCAGTATTAAAGAGATAAGCTATCAGCATTTCTTGTTAGAATGCCAACACAGATGTATTACTCCTTAGCCCCGGAACAATGATTTTGCACACTGACTAGCCCAGTCTGGAATGCAGTTTCCAAATGAGCAATGATATTCCAGGAAAGTCTGATTTAATAGATAACATATTAATACATTAATAATAATACATAAGGGAGCTGCAGGGCAAATTTTATTTGTGAATTTAGCATCATTATGAAGGAGTTATAAAAACATGTGAAAAATAGGATAAACAGAATTGCCTAGATGTCCAAGTGAAAAGAGAAAAGATCAAGGATCTAGCATTAGGAAACTTTGAAGGAGGAGGAATTGGAACTACTTGTATTATTATTATTCCTCATAACATTTGCCTTCCTCCTTTCATCTTTTTATTAGTTTTTGTTTTATATTGTCTGCAAATAAAGCTTAGTGACCATTATCTTCTTGTTGGTTATAATTCTCACTTGGAATTTTTGTCTTAACAATATTATAGTGTTAAATTAAAATAAAATTCTTTACTATTTTAGTACCATTTTAGCAGATTATTAAGTCTTCTGGGACAATGAACAGCATCTAATCCTCTCCTCACAGAACCCCTAGGCATTTAGGTATCACATAGATATATCTGCTGAACTGAATAATAAGGTCCCATTTTATTCATGGAGAACTCTAAAATATTCTAATGGATTTTAAATAAATTTGCATTGGCTTATATTTTGTAGGTGAACCACTGAGTTCTTCATTATGTCTGATGGAGACTATGATTACCTCATCAAGTTTTTAGCTTTGGGAGACTCTGGAGTGGGAAAGACCAGTGTACTTTACCAGTACACAGATGGTAAATTTAACTCCAAATTCATCACAACGGTGGGCATCGATTTCAGGGAAAAAAGAGTGGTAAGTTCTATATCCGTCTATATAAAAATGCAATACATGAGTCAACATTTGCCTATCTATTTAGTTTACTTTGTAGGAGTTAGGAGGACAAAGGTTAGAATCTAAAATTAAATGGCACATATGAAAGTGTATTATGTCCAGTCTGAGCCATATGATTAAAAGGCTGTGCTGAAGAATATCTTCAAAAATCATTTATCTGACAAGAATCCAATAACCAAAATATATATAAAACTTCAGAAATTTAACAGAAAGACAAATACCCAATCAAATGAGCCAAGGACTTGATATACATTTCACCCAAGAGGATATTCAAATGACACATGACAAGGTGCTCGGCATCACTGGCCGTCAGAGAGATGCAAATCAAAACCACAGGGATACACCACTTGACTCCCACTAGGTTGACTAGATTTTAAAAAAGGAAAATAACAAATGTTGGCAAGGCTGCAGGGACATTGGGACCCTTCACATTCCCTGGTGGGAGTGTACAATGGTTCAGGTGTTGTGGAAAAACATGTTGACACTTCCTCATAAAACTAAAAATAGAATGATTACACCTAGGTGTATAGCCAAAAGACTTGAAAGCAGAGATTCAAACACAGACTTGTACACTAATGTCATTGCAGCACTATTCACAACAGCCAAAAGGTAGAAACAACCTAAATGTCCATCAACAGATGAATGGATAAACAAAATATAGTACATACATAAAATGGAATATTACTCAGTCATAAAGATAGGGTTTCCATTGAGTCAGTAGATCAAATTGGGAGTATTGCCATCTTAATAATATTAAGCGTTCCAGTCTATGAATGTTTTTCCATTTATTTAGATCCTCTTTAGTTTCTTTCAACAATGTTTGATAGTTTTCAGAGTACAAATTTTATATTTCTTTTGTTAAATTTCTTATGTACTTATATTTTGATGCTATTATAAATGGAATTGTTTTCTTAATTTTATTTTCTAATTTTCATTGTTAGTGTTAGAAATGTAGACTATTTTTTATACTGATGTTGCATATTGCAAGTTTGCTGAGCTTTCATAGTTTGTGTATGTCTGTGTGTGTATTCCTTAGTATTGTCTACATGAAAGATCATGTCATCTATGAATAGAGATAATTTTACTTCTTCCTTTCCAGTTTGAATGTCTTTTATCTCTTTTTCTTGCCTAATTTCCCTAGTGAGAACCTCCAGTACAATACTGGATAGAAGTGGTGAGAGTGGACATCCTTGTCTTCTTCTTGATCTTAAGGAGAAAGAAAGCATTCAGACTATCACTATTAAGAATAAGATGTGGATTTGTTTTTTGTAGATGTCAGGTTGAGGAAGTTTCCTTATATTCCTAGTTTGTTGAGTGTTTTTATCATCAAAGGGTATTAGATTTTATCAAATGCTTTTTTCTGCATCTATTGAGATGACCATGTGTTTTTAGTTCTTTATTTTATGTATATAAAAACCAAAACCAAACTCATTGCCATCGAGTTGATTCCAACTCATAGTGAACCCCATTGGGTTTTCAAGGCTGTAAATCTTTTATGCAAGCAGGTTGCCTCATTGTTCTTCTGTGGAACAGCTGGTGGGTTTGAACCACAGACCTTTTGGTTAGCAGCCCAATCTCTTAACCACTACACCATAGTGCATCATATTGATTGATTTTTATGTGTTAAGCCATTGTTACCGTTCTTGCTATAAATTCTACTTAGTCATGGTGTATAATCCTTTCTCTGTGTTGATGGATTCTATTTGCTAGTGTTTTGTTAAAGATTTTTGGGTCTGTATTCAGAAGGGACATTGGTCTGTAGTTTTGTTTGTTTCAAATTTTCTGATGATATCTTTGGCTTGATATCGAGGTAATACTGGCCTCCTAGAATGAGTTGGGGAGCTCTGGTAGTGTAGTGCCTAAGGCACTTGACTGCTTACCAGAAGGCTGGTGGTTCAAACCCACCAGCCACTCCTCAGAAGGAAGGTTGGGCAATCTACTTCCATAGAGATACCACCTCGGAAATCCAAAGAGAGGTCACTATGAGTCGGGTCCAACTTGACTGCACATAACAACAACAACAGAATGAATTGGGAACTGTGTCCTCCTTTTCCTTATTTTAGAAGAGTTTGTGACGAACTGGTGTTAATTCTTTATTTGTGAAGACATTTGTGCCTGGGCTCTGTGTGTATGTTGGGGCCCGTGTTCAGTGCTCCAGGAGGCAGTTGACAACTCTGCCTTACCCTTCTCTTCCTGCTTGGGAAGAGCCTTTCTAAGGCCTTTTCAGGTCTTTCCTGGGCATTTGTACAGACCCACACGTATGTGTGGTTTTCTAGGATCCCAGGAATATTTTGGAGATTTTCAAAGCCTTCTATAGGCATCTCATTTTCTACTTTTGTTTTTTAAGTTTTTTGATAAGCCTTTTGTTAGCCCCAATTGATACTGCTTCCTCAGGTAGTTGTTATGTGAAATAATTGCTGCTGATTATTTTCAACAAATGCTCTAGAGATAGGGTTGTTCTCCTAGCCTGAGCTCTGAGTCAGGTCAAATAAAGACAAGCCTTGGAAATGGAGCTTTTCATAGAACTTCTGGACAGGTCAAATACTGACAATTCTCTGGGCTAGGACTTTTGGGGCTCTTTAAACCCATTCTGCCTCTACTGCCTACAGTGATGTTAGTCTAATGGTTTTCACAGCTACAATCATTGTGAGTGTTGGTTTGCAGGGCTACTGTGGAGCTATGGAGAGAAGGATAGCGATGTTGTAGTTGTTGTTTGTTGCTATAGAGTCAATTATGACTCTGTGGTCATAATCATGACCATGCATTATAGAACTGACCTGTGTGATCTTTAACAGAAGCAAATTGCCAGACCTTTTCTTCTGTGGTACATCTGGGTGGCTTCAAACTGCCAACCTGTAGGCTAGCAATTGAATGCAAACCATTTGTACCACTTGGGAACTTAACACACAAATTTTACTGTTTTTTTGCATATATTTAGCTGTTTTTCTTGAATATGTGCTCCTTGGAATGTGTTGCAAGCCTTTGTTCATTATCAGACTTCTGGAAAAGTTGATTTTGACTATTTTTGCCAATGTTTTTGTTGATTTATGGAGGAGTAGATTTTTGGAAGGGAGGGCTCTGGTAGCATAGTGCCTAAAGCACTTGACTGCTACCAGAAGGCTGGTGGTTCAAACCCACCAGCCACTTCTCAGAAGGAAGGTTGGGCAATCTACTTCTGTAGTGATACTGCCTCGGAAACCCAAAGAGGGGTTGCTATGAGTTGGGGCCGACTTGATGGCACATAACAACAGCAACAACAACAGATTTTTGGAAGTCCTTACCATGCCACTTTGGAAGTGGTTCCCATAACATTGTTGTAAGAGCACTTTTTAAAGATGAAATAGGAAGAGTCATAGAAAGTTAATATTTCCTGAAAGTAGTGACCCAAGGAAACTTTGAGGAAAAGTGAACTAACGATTATTTGAAATAAAATACAAACAAGCTTGTGTTCAGTTGGAATTCTCTTTTTAGAAGTTTACATTCTTAGAGGAGTTGCACCAAATAGAAAGGTAAGCCGAGTTCACCTGTCTCAGATGTTCTTTTTTTTTTTTTTTTTTTTTACCTCTTTCACTTTGTTGTTTCAGGTGTACAGAGCTAATGGGCCAGATGGAGCTGTTGGCAGAGGTCAGAGAATCCACCTGCAGTTATGGGACACAGCAGGGCAGGAGAGGTATGAGAGCATCACCTGTGTGTTCTTACTGGAGGAAAGGAGAAAAACAGCTACACTCGTCACAAAGTGGCCTGAGCAGGAACAAGCCAGTGATCAATTGATTTGTACCTGACTAAGATATGCTGCCAAATTAAAAGGACATTTATCAGTCTGAGATAATAATGGTGGCCTGTAAGGGAAAATGAATCTTTGCAAAATAGGCCTTCTTGCTTATGGATTTTTCTTTCTTTGCTTTTTTTTGGTAACTTAGACACTTTTCCCTATTTTCTGCATTTACTTTGCTATTTACTCAACCACAAAGAAAAAGCTGCAAGTTCCATGCAATAGTTTTACCCACTTGTTGAAACTTTGTGGAAAGAATAGTTGCAATAAATTTATATGGTTAGAGGTTGCTTGACCAAAATAAACCACATGAAATCATGATATAAAATTGCATTTAGTTAGCTAAAGCTTCTGTTTTCTTTCACAGCCTCCTTAATTTTTTTTTTTTTTTTTAACGTTTTCCTGTGGAAAACTTCACATATCTACAATAGTAGAAAGTATAGTATAGTGAATCCAAGTACCCATTACCCATTTTCAACAATTAGCAAGTCCTGGTCAACCTTATTTCATGCATATACTTTCTACTACCTCTCTCCTCCCAGATTATTTTGAAACAAATTCCAGAAATCCTATCATTTCATTTGGAAATATTTTTGTATGTGTCTCTGAAAGATAAGGACTTGTTTTATAAAAACATTGTTTAAAGGTATTTGAGAAAAACATGACATCGTTGATTAGATGACAAATTTGTACCAGTGTTTTCTTCCCTGGCACCTATGTATGTTAGTTGCAGGCTTTGCATATAAGCAAAGAGAGAGGAAAGGGAGTTGTGGTGGGGGTGGTGGGGGTGGGGGGAGACAGCAGGATAAGCATTTGAGAAGAAAGTGGCAAGAAAGGATAGGGACTGAGTCAAAACTATTCACACCTTAAATGATTATCGGAGATTAGATATTTCTGTAGAGACTGAAATTAAAAGCTCATGGAACACATTGTAAAGTCAAATCAAGCTTTCACAGCACAAGGAAAACATTCACAGCAAGCACTACTGCTTTTGGCCTAATTTACTCATAATTGTACGATAAATTCTTGGCTGAGACTAAGGGATCATGAGCTAGTTCTCGTTACCCCTGTCACGCAGGCTGTTTTGAAATTACATGGTATCTTAACACACAAACTTCTATGAGTGATATATAACTATAAAGTTTTAGAATATCATCATGTAATTTCTAATGGATGAACTTCTGTAAGAGACTGAGGACATTGCTTGTAGCCTTGTATTTCAGGAGAGGGACCATAGCCTGGGTAACCAGTCTGCTTTTATGTTCCTAGGTTTCGTAGCCTGACAACAGCATTCTTCAGAGATGCTATGGGATTCCTTCTGCTTTTTGATCTGACAAATGAGCAAAGTTTCCTCAATGTCAGGAACTGGATAAGTAAGTGTTATTATTTCTTGGCCTGTCTCTCCTCCTTCCCTGCAATAAAAATTCCTCTTAAATTCTACTTCTGTTGTCAATTGTTTTAGGCACTTCTAGTACAAATGCTATTTAAAAGACCAAGATTTTTAGTTTAGGGTCAAAGATACTCTGCTTTATCTAGTAACAGTAACTTGGATTTGTTGAGTACTTCCTATGTCCCAGGTACATGGCAACATTTTACATGTAATCACTTAATCTTTTCCACAGAGTGGATTTCTTTACTTCCATTTTACATATGAGGAAATAAAGACTAAAGAAGTTAAATCTTTATGTATCTGCATGCCTATTGGGTGCCATCAACTCATATATTATCTGTGAGCCTTAAAAATATACTGCATAGACATAGAAACCTTTGGAAGACTTAGTAAATCATACTGCTGTTGCATGTGTCTTCTGTGCTTTGAGTCTCCTGCCTTCAGTTTTAGGATCAGAGCATGTGTGAGGAGGACATTGTCATGGAGAACTACCACTGCATTAGCACATGTGGTTGATGTCTAGTGAGATCTATATCACTTCATTTTGGCTCTTTGGAGAGATCATCTTAAGTGATTGGCTAATAGTAATTTAAAGTCCTGCCACTTGACCAAATAACAGCTTCCAAATGTACATTTTCCTCCTTTGGTTGGCTGTGTTAGTATAACCCTAGAACACCATTAAAGACGGCTATGATGCTAAATTCGTAACATCCAAGCCTTTAAAGTGAAAACACATTTAAAAATAACTACTTCTTAAAAATTACCTGGTGTCTTGGGATTATAAAAGAGTTATCAGCTGTGATTTTGATAGTAGAAAACCTTATTTTTAAAATGAATTTTTAATTAATTTGTATAGTTCATTGTGGTGTTCAAAGCATTTTAATATATTTTGTATCATTTGATCTTTGCAGCCACCTTGTGAGAGTTAGGGCAAGTAGTGTGTCCTTATTTCAGGGTGAGGACACTGAATCTTAACGAGTAGTTGACTTAACCAAGGACATGGAGCAATAAGTGGAAGAGTCTTTTGGCTTTCAGTTCAGTGGCCTTTCTCAACTAACTTGATTTGTAAGAAATGAAGGGCTATTTAATACTTTAAATACATGTACTACAAGTTTAATTATGCTTATTAGGCCTCACTTTGTTAAATGCTTGGCTGAGTTGCAAATGTCATTATTTTTCTTAGACCTTAATGGTTGTGACTATTTCTAATCCCTTATTTTCAGCCCTTGCTCAACATCCTCTTTGCATCATCTTACAAGTTCTGGGTCTTTTGCAAGTCAAGCATTTTTAAGTATCATCACAGAAGATGTGCTCATAGAATCTTAGTTGTAAAATAACCAACCCATCTGTTTTTCACAGGTAGAAACTGAAACTCTGACACACATTAGGTAAATCCTGTGATGTATAGATAGATAAGGAACTCTGGTGGCATACTGCCTAAGGCTGGCAGTTCAAACCTACCAGCCACTCCTTGGAAGGAAGATTGGGCAATCTGCTTCTGTAGAGATACTGCCTTGGAAACCCAAAGGTGTCACTATGAGTTGAATAGACTCAACGGCAGTGAGTTTTTGTTTGTTTGTTTATTTGTTTACAGATAGATAAAGGGCAAAATTATGTGAAATTATATGTATGTATTTTTTCTCAAAGAGTGAAAGAATCCATATTACCAGTTAAAGAAAAAATAAAAAACCAAACAACTTTAAAAATATTATTGAAAATTTCTTACTTTCAGTGGAAAGTGTCCAGTCCCTTAACCCTCACTCTGTTTTTTTTTTAAAGTACAATGTTCAGTGTCAAAGTAAAATCAAATCTTAATTATGAATAAAAATTTGTTCATTAGCTATGTATTTTTTTTTTCCTCTGCTTGCTAGCATTTTGAGTGTTTCAGGGATTATTTATTGCTTCTTTTTTGCCAAAATAATAATAATAACAATATATTTTTTTTCTTCTTGGCCTGGAAAGAGGGGAGAGGGTCTGTACCATTTGCTTCTCCAGAGTTGCCTCATGTGCCCCTTTTCTCTTTTCCAAATCTCTCCAGACCTCTTTGGAAGGTGGGTAAGAATCCAAAGGCAGACTGGGTTCTGTTTAGGAGGCCACATGGTGAGCTGAGTCTTTTGGACCTCAATCTGAAATCTGAAAGGCAGCAGGCAGTGTTGTATTCCCTCAGCCGTCCTCATGGAGTTCAGAGGGATTGGCAAGTCATGGTCTCAGTAAATTTTCATCCAGTGGTAGCATATTTCCTACAGAAACTTAAAAAAAAAATTCTGTGTATGAGCTATTCATGATAAAATGAATCTGCTTTGTCAAATATCACCCAAATCACAATAAAAAGTTAAAAAAAAAAATCTCAAATTTCTAGCTTTTTCTTCTGTGACCTCCCATAAATGGTAAAAGAGCCCAACAGTTTCCATGTTTCCATTTTACTTGTTTTTGCTATATTTTTACCCTTATCATTTTCTTTGTCTGGAAAGAGTTCCTTCTTCCACCTCCATTATTTTTCCTTTTTGAAAAGCTGATTAGAACCTTATTTATTCTTTAAAACCTAGCAAAAAATAGCTTCTATGAAGCTTTGTGTGATAACTTAGTTGCTTTAAATTTGTTTCATTCCTCTTACGATCCTTATCACATATTGCCTGACATTGTAATTAGTTATATCTGTGACTTTTTCTTTTGGCCAAGTTTTTTTTTTTTTAAAGGATGGATTAACCTACTTTTAAAAATATAAGTAATTCACAGTCTTTGTTGAAAATTTTCAGTAAAGGAAGATAAAAAGAAAAAAATCAACAATAATTAGACCTTTCACGTTCCCATAAGTACCCGCTCATACTGGTAATACTTACATAGCACTTCTAAGTGCTTCAGTCTCAAACTTGACTGTGCATTAGAATCACCTGTATAGCTTGCTGGGCCCTGTACCACTGTTTCTGATTCAGTAGGTCTGGGGTAGGACCTGAGAAATTGCATTTCTAATAAGTTCCCAGGTGATGCTGATGCTGTTGGTCAATGGGCCTTAACTGGAGAATCACTGAATTAATTCATTTAACCCTATGGAGTAAATATTGTACTATCATTACCACCATTTACAGATGGGAAAACTGAGGTACAAGGTCAAAAACTTCACCAGAGCCACACAAATAATAAGTGGCAGAGTCAGGATTCATCCCCAGGTACAGTGAGTCTTGAGTCTATGCTCATGATCACAGTGAAGGACATTTAAGTTGTCACCAGAGCACAGAGCCACTCTAGAGACCAGAAAGTTCCCACAGGAGAGGTAACCTTGAAGACAAGTCTGGAAAGGAGGGTAGGGAATCCCTGAAGGAAGACTGTGGGTGGAGATTTGGAAGTGTGGGAACAGCATGTGTTAACAGCTCAGAAGAAAGAAAGAGCATGGCTGTTCTTGGAAATAGTGCACAATTTGTTTTTGCTTATTCCCAGGCTAAGGAGCCCTGGTGGTGCAGTGGTTAAGCACTTAGCTGCTAATTGAAAGGTCGGTGGTTCTAATCCACTAGCCACTCTGTGGGAGAAAGATTTGGCTATCCATTTCTGCAAAGATTTCAGTGTTGGAAACTCTATGGGGGCAGTTCTGCTGTGTCCTAGGAGTTTAAAATGTCTCAACAGCAAAAGATTTACTCCATCTTGTTTTCCTACTTGCCCCTTGATAGCAAAGGAATGTCTTAAAATTCTAAGCAAAATAGCAGGCCTGTGTCATTGCCCAATAAATGCTCACAGACTGACATTTTTTGATATAATGAGCCTGACTTCATAATGAGGAACTAAAATGTCAACATTTTTCTGGTTAACCATGATAAAACATAAATTGGGCCATAAACTTTGAGGTATGTCTTATTTTGAAAGTTTGGATTGCTTTAATTTCATTATGGGGTATGATGAGTAAAAAGTAAAACTTCATTTTCCTTCTTGGGAAGATTAAACTGTTTAGCTTAGTGAAGCTCTTTTGTTTGACTACATTGTTTTTAGAAATTATGCTTATTGCAGATTTATCTTCAGGTGAAAAGAAATAAAAGCAGTGGAATAAGAATTGTAGTCTCCCTGATTCCTCTTGGCTCTACTGGCAGAATCATTTGCTATTCATCCTGGGTCTTTTCTCCATTTAATCCTGTATCTTGTTTGTTTTGAAAGAACTGATGCGGACTTAGGATAATTGAAAAAAACATTTCAGATAGAAATAGATGAGTTTATAGGAGGGCGAGTGCTTAAAAAAAAGTCACTGCTGTGGTGAGGAAAGATAGAGCTTAAAAGGTTAGTAATCACTTCTTGTTGTTATGTGCCGTCGAGTCGGACCCGACTCATAGCGACCCCTCCTTGGGTTTCCGAGGCAGTATCACTACGGAAGTAGATTACCCTTCCGAGGAGTGGCTGGTGGATTTGAACCACCAGCCTTCTGGTTAGCGATCAAGTGCCTTAGCCACTATGCTACCAGAGCTCCCAAGGAATGCTTAAAATTTCTTTTTAAGAGATAACCAGGTATTGTGTGTGTGCACTTTAGGAGGGTGCACTGTGAAAATATGAATATCCCCTACTCTCTGATATAAATAAGGTAGAGTATGTGTTTAAAGACAAGGCTAGTTTTGTATGTCTGTCCCATGCATTCAGTTTTACAAATAGGTTATTGATGCTTTGAAAGCTATTGTATCTATTTATTTTATCTGTATATCCATTTGCAATTTTCAACACACTTTTGCATATATTCTCCATTGATGATGATACATTTTATGATTTACCTATATTTTTTTTATCTTCTTAAATTAATAGGCCAGCTACAAATGCATGCATATTGTGAAAAGCCAGATATAGTGTTATGTGGAAATAAGAGTGATTTGGAAGACCAGAGGGTAGTAAAAGAAGAGGAAGCCGTGGAACTTGCAGAGAAGTATGGGTGAGTGTTTTTGTAGAGAAATCTAGTGAAAACATTTTGAATATAAACATTTCCCATGTACTGAGGGAAGTACAGATGTAAAAAATTAAAATAAAAAGTTCAGATGTAGTTTTTGGTAATATAAAATATCTACTTGGCATAATATATGATAATATTCATGTACTATATGACAGTGAGAACCATAGAAACGGCGTGTGGTAAGAACTTTCATTCTATGTTTATCAATCTCTTAGAACTGTTGGAAAGATAGCTTCAAGGATGAACGCTGTGCAGCCTCCACCACCCCCAAATGCAAATAGGAGATCCTTTGAATGAAGAAATCTCTATGTTCAGCAAGGAGATTCCAGGCCAGTTTGTGTGTGGTTTTAGTATACAAGATGGACTTATTGAGTATTTCCAGGGCTGGCTTTGAAATTTCTGTGCTGGGAGAGTGATGTGAGGATCCATTATGGTTCAGGCTATGTTCCTTTTTTTTTTTTTTTTTAATTTTGATTGTGATTTGGGTGAAAGCTTACAGAGCAAATTCATTTTCCATATAGCAGTTTATAAACGTTGTTTCCTGACATTGACTGCAGTTCCCCACAATGTAACAGCTTTTCCCACTTCTTCCCCATAGTTACCTCTTCCCTGTGTCCTTCCCCCCCATGCACTCCCACCATCCCCCTCCACCCCACTGCAGCTGTCTTCCCATGCAAACACTGCCCTTCTGTTCTCCCATGATTGATCACCCCATATCAAGCTATGTTCTTATGGTAGAAGTTCAACAAAATGATGTCAGCGAATAGGATCATAGCAGCAAAAGCAGCATGTCCTGTTCAAAGGGCACCTCTCTGAAGGAATACTTTTGGCCTCTAATACAATGAACATCCAAATGTATATGTATTAATTACCCTTAATTTAGGTAGGGGAGGACTCTGGTGACTAAGTGGTTAAAGCATTTGGCTGCTAACCAAAAGATCTGCAGTTTGAACCCACCAGCTGCTCCGTGGGAGAAAGATGGGGCAATCTGCTTCTATAAAGGTTTATAGGCTTGGAAACCCTATTGGGCAGTTCTACTTTGTCCGAAAAAGTCACTATAAGTCAGAATTGGCTCTATGGCAGTGAGTTTAAGTTGAAGGCAGCACATGGGGTTGGGAAGAGGAGAGAGAGATGGAGTGGTGTGGTGTGGTGTGGTATATAGGGGATGTTACCCAGGTAGTGGCCACGGTTTTAGGCAGTATCCAAGGAGACTAGAGCAGACCTGTTTCCTTCTCATTGTGTAAACACTGCTTTGTTCTTCCTTTCCATCTGATAGAGATTCTGAAAGGACTTAGGATAAGGATTCACACTGGGAAAGGAGTCCAAGGATAGTTTGGTGAGATGGGGAGAAGCCTGGCTCCAGAGGCTTTGAATGTCAAGAAAGGAGATTAGCCTCGATCCACTGGAAGACAGTGAGTTTCTGAAAGGTGTTATGGAGGGGTGTTATGAGTACTTTTCCAGAAGATCTGTCTGGGGCTGTGTGTAGGATGAGTTGAAGGGACTAGAGATAGAGAGATTGCAGCGATATGAGTAGGATTTATGGAAAAGGAGTAGTAAATCAGAGAAGACACACAGAAGAGGTGGGGTGGGACAGAACAAGATTTTAAACCTTTTTCAGTTCTAGTTCACCTGGGGGATTCCTATCGTTGGTTACTCTGGCAAGGATTTGCAGTTGGATGTAGAGGTTTTCAACCCAAGGTTAGTGATTTTTAACCCTGGTTGCATATTAGAAACACTGGGGAGCTTTTAAAAAGTACTCATGTCTGGGCCACCTCTGGGCTTATGGCATAATTGATTGGGGGTGTTGTAGCAATCACAGGTCAACTGGAGAAGCAGACCTATATAAAAAGGGATTTATTACTGGGATTTGGCCTTTTGTAATTGTGTGAACTGGTTAAGCAATCTCTGTAAGGTGTTGTCTTTGTGTCTGATGCTGAAACTTGATATTCCCAGGACAGGTAGTCAGGAAGGGAAGATGGATATAAAGTGGGGAGAGCAAGAACAAGCCGAGACCCACAAGGATGGAATGAAGCCCTAGTCAGTTCTTGTTGTCTCTAGTTGTATGGGTGTCCTACAGAAACCAGGGCTCTTCATCGCTGAGCTAAATACACATACCTGGCCCAGGAGTTGGAGACGCTGAAGGAGGATCCAAGGGAAGGTGCAGCAGGTACAGGTCTGGCCAACAAGATGAATCAGCACATAAGCAACAAAGTGTGAGAACTACAAAACGGCTTTTGCTTCACTTCCACCCTCCAAATCTCTCTCACAATCTCTCTTGTGGTCTGCCCTAACCAGAAAGGGAATTCTGGGAAATGTGCTGCTGAGTCAAGTTGGCATTTTGCAAAGCTACTATCAGTGGGGGCCTGGGCATTAGTATTTTTAGAAAACTCACCACGTGATTTTGATGGACAGTGGTTGAGTACCACAGACTAACATGGTTCTGATGCAGAGTTTGGGAAGCCCCATGGGATTCTAATATGTTTCCCTGCCTCCCCTGAAAGCCACTGGTGTAATGTAATGGGAAGGAAAGAGAGAGATCAAATACCACAGAGAATACTGAAGTGTTGGAGCTGGGAGCTGTGTTGCAAGGGGGTAAAGAGGAAATAAGTGATGAAGCAATGGAAACCATGGATTAGACCATGCTTTTGAAAAGGGTATCAGTAAAGGCAAAAAGTAAGGCAGCTAAGGGAGTTCACTAGATGAAACAAATATATTCTCAAGTACTGAGTGGGTGGATAGGGGTGTTTCAAGGGGCTCTGGTGGTGCTGTGATTAAAGCATTGGGCTGCTAACAAAGAGGTTGGCAGTTTGAACCCACCAGCTGCTTCATGGGAGAAAGATGAGGCAGTCTGTTTCTGTAAAGATTTACAACCTTGGAAACACTTTGTGGCTGTTCCACTCTGTCCTAAAGGGTCACTATGACTTGGAATCGACTCGATGGCAGTTGGTTTGGTTTGGGGGCTGAGGGGGCTTCAGGGTTGACTTCTGCCCTCTCTGGTATTCTTCAGCATCTTGCTTGTTTCCTCTGTTCAAGTTGTCAGATTCCACAGCCTGCCTGGCATCTCACTGCCATTGAGTCAGATCTGACTCATGGAGACCCCTCCTTGGGTTTCCGAGGCAGTACCACTACAGAAGTAGATTGCCCGATCTTCCTTCTGAGGAGTGGCTGTTGGGTTTGAACCGCCAGCCTTCTGATTAGCAGTCAAATGCCTTAGGCACGAAGCCCCCAGAGCTCCTGCCTGACAATAGAGAGCCCTATATTGTCTTTTGTCATATTGGGAACCCAAGGAATGTAGGCATAATTCCTTACTTGTGTGCAGCTCACAATGTCTACACAGTATTTCGTAGACCAAAAACCAACCCCCCTGCCGTTGAGTCGATTCCAACTCATAGCAAACCCCATTGGGTTTCCGAGGCGGAAAAATCTTTACAGAAGTAGATAGCCCAGTCTTACTTCCACACAGTGGCTGTTGGGTTTGAACCACCAACCTTCTGGTTAGCAGCCAGATGCCGTAGGCACTGTGCTACCAGAGCTCCTTAGTATTTCATAGAGAGGGACTCAATCTAAAGTTTGTGAGTTGAGTTAAAGTGAGTGGAAAATGGATTAGAGGATAAGTATAATTGACACTGCTGGAGAAGAAAGGAAAGGAGTGGAAACAATTCCCTTAGAATTTAGGAAGCTTAGAGTATAGTTCTATAGACTGTTTAGCAGTTCCAGAGGGAAAAATGATCAAGTCACTTGGTTCACATGCACATCACAAATTTGAAATAGAAGTGTAATTATTGTTTTCACAGATGTCTTGTTTTATCCTAATAATTGTTAACCTTCTCATTGGTTGTACCTTCACTAACATGACTGTGTTCATCACTTCATCTGTGTGCTGACAATCAGAAAACCACATACAGCTTATCATCTATTTTCATATCATTTGCATGTCCTCTGCCAAATTTGCTTTTTTTTTTTTTTTTTTATACTGTTATGCTGCCTTCTATCTTCCATTCATAAGAATGGATCATTGGCTCAAAAGTGGTTTATTGAAACATGCAGAGATAAAAATGGTAACATGAAAGACTTTGAGTCAGAAAAACTTGACAATGCTAAATAGAGAACAGGCTATTGGGCAAATATGGAACATGAATCTGCATGCGCTGAGACAATTAAATCTGGGGATGTAAGCAGCCAAAATTTTAAAGAGTGAATTGGCTGCAGGATGACGAATATCAGAAAATTTACATTTAGTTGACTGAAAGTTCATTAGTCCCTACTTCCTCTTTGTTTTTTTTTTTTTGCTATGAGACTTGGTTAAATTGCAGTATGAAGCTCTTTGGTCACTTGCTAACAAAACACAGTAACCTCTCTGGTAAACGAATCAAATTTTCTCAGAACAAGAGCAGAATAATGCTTTTCAGTATGCTGTATTGAATCATATTTCCAGTGAAGTCAGAGCAGAGAACAACACAAAGGCTTATTCAAACTTGTACTCCTCACAGCCCAAACTATTACAGTTCACACTGTTGCTGAGATGCTTTTCAAAATAGCTGCAAAGTCAGTGAGGAATATATTAGATGAGAAAGCAGAATGTACCATTGCCAGCATTCCTCTTTTAGATGGTAGTATTAAAGCTCAAACTTCAATGTGCATCAGGATCACTTGATTGTTGGTTCCCAACAGCAGAGTTTTTGTTCAGTAGGTCTGGGGTGAAGCCCACCTATTTACAATCCTAACTATTCTCGAACCTGCTGTTGTTGGATCAGGACAGCCCTGCATTTTGAGAACCACTAGTGTAGATGCATGGGAGAAGGATGTGGCGGTCTGCTTCTGTAAGGATTTATAACTTTGGAAATGTTTTGGGATGGTTCTACTTTGCCCTATAGGTTGTTATGAGTTGTAATCAACTTGAGGGCAGTAGGTTTGTTTTTTGGTGTAGATACTAAGTTACTATTAGGTGTGTGAGCTAGTAGACACTTTCCTTGACAGTAGGA